AGTTAGTCTTAATTCAAAAGCCCTAAATGTAATCTTCGGATCTATGAGTATCATCAACAAAATTTATTTTTAGCATATGGCAAGAAATTTTTGATAAATTCTTTCTCATCAACATTTTTTAGCACATTTAACTTAAATCTGTAATCATCGCCAAGCGTAATGTCAACAGAAAAGGTTACCACACTCCTTTATTATTCAATTACTAACATAAAAAATTTTTTAGGCATCGCTACATTAGTCATTATCAATTTGTCAGCCAAATTACTGATCATACAAATTTATAGTAAAATGATTGTTTCTCTTCAATAGCAAGGTATTTTATTTAGTGTCAAAGTGAAATTAAGAATTGGAACTGTCCAGATATTTTATTATGCGCAGAGGGGAGAATCAAATGCGCATGCACAAAGCCTCTAAGAAAAATGTTGGTGGTTTTAAGGTCCGGATTTTAGATCATTCTGGGTAATGGATGTCTGGATTTCGGATTTTGTACTGTATAATATTTTACTACAGTGTATTTTTATGATATTTAATATTTGTACAACTTATTTACAAGAGATCATAGCAAAAATCTCTAAAATTTTAACATCAATGCTTTTGAAAGAGAGTTGTTTTTATTTGAATTTCACATTTATGTTGAAAATGAAATGTATATAAAAGCACTAGAAATGTTTTCTCATGTGAAGATAGCTTGCAAACTTCTTTTATTGCATAAAAGGAGTTTGTAAAAGAATTTCAAATGCTAGTTTTATATTGCCAACCAACAAAAGGTTTTATGAATTATGTTAAAATATGATTCAATTTACACACTGTAAATGAAAGCCCACTTGTTCTGGAAATTGGCATTTGAAAAAGAAAAAAATATTTGAACTATTTACATAAGGTTAATGAATTAAATCATAATTTTCTGAGTTAGAATTTATAGAAATAAAATAAGTTTAATTAATAAACTGATCACTAAAATTTATAGGTACTTGAATAACTATATTTTGATGTGTTTTAAAAACAATCAAGACCCATTCCTTTGTAACTTTGGCCTTATCCTTCACATCAAACAGAAAAACCACATATGACAAACATGTGTTACTATTTGCTTAAAAGGATATATTGTATGCTACCATTAAAAATGAAAGATGCACATAATATAATTCGAAGTTTATTGTATTGAAAGAGAAAGAAATGTTAGAATGAGTAAAAAGGCCTTTGATTTATGTAAGGAATTACTTCAATTCATCCAGTTGAAAGCTTGAAAATTTTAACAAAGGATTTATACTTTATCCTATAAAAATGTCTTGTCTAATGATATGTTTTACTTTTTACAGTAACAGAAAAACCAGTGATTGTGCATGAACTAGTAAATATTTTTAAATAAAAAACAAATCACAAAATATCAGAGATTATTATTTCTGTACTATAATAATCATCAATGCCAGGTGTTAAAAATTTCAACATAGTAGTGAGTTCAAAAAAACACTTATGTTTATCATTCAATGCAAAATGTTTGCACAGAGCTAACTTCTCCACACAGCAAGTGCTATTCATAAACTGCATGCCCAACATGTTCCAAAAACACAGTCAAGTCTTTTTATATTTCAACACTTACAGTGGATGGACAAAAATATGGAAACACCTTGTGAAATGCATGTTTGAAAAGAAAGATTGGTTTTAATGAAATATGTAGGTGGCGCTGGCGTTTTTGACTACTGACGCCACCTATACAACTTCGTAAATGTGCTAAACAGTTCAGTTGTTGTCGGAGTACTGTTATGTGAGGTTGTCATTGCATTATGTCAGAGTTAACAGACTTCGAACGTGGGCAAATTGTTGGAGCACGTATGGTAGGTGCTTCCGTAAGCAAGGTAGCCGAGGTGTTTAGTGTTTCAAGAGGTACTGTATCGAAGATTTATTCCGCATATTTGAAAAGCGGAAAAAACATCATGCTAAATCACAGCGCGGACGAAAGTGTGTCCTGAGTGATCGTGACAGACGATCATTAAGGGCAATTGTGACGAAAAATAAGAAGACCACAGCTGCAAAAGTTACTGCTGAAATGAATGTTGTGTTACCGAACCCTGCGAGTACCAAAACAATTAGAAGGGAGCTTCATAAACAGGGAATTGCTGGCCGTGCTGCAATTGAGAAGCCACTCATCAGTGATGCTAATGCCCGTAACAGGAAAAGTCATAAAGCCTGGAGTATAGAGCAGTGGAAGCGAGTAATATGGTCTGACGAGTCTTCTTGCACATTTTTCCCACTTCTGGCCGAGTTTACGTCTGGAGAAACGCCCATCTCAAGCCTATAATACAGACTGCTTGTTGCCAAGAGTGAAACATGGCGGGGGTTCTGTTATGGTTTGGGCAGCCATATCGTGGTTCTCTGCTAGCCCCATGATAACTGTGTCAGGGCACATGACTGCCAAGACTTATGTGAACATTTTGGCCGATCAATCAAGTTCATCCCATGGTACAAACTTTGTTCCCCGATGGTGATGGTGTCTTCCAAGACGACAAAGCCCCTGTTCACACAGCTCACATTGTCCAGGACTGGTTTTCTGAGCACGAGGATGAGTTGTCCCATCTCCCTGGCCACCACAGTCACCAGACCTGAATATTATCGAACCTTTGTGGTCTACATTGGAACGGAAAGTGCGTTCTCGTTATTCACCGCCAACATCATTATCTGAACTTGCTACCGTTTTGCAGGAAGAATGGTATAATATTCCGTTGGCAAACATACAGGAACTGTATTTATCCATTCCGAGAAGACTGCAAGCTGTTTTGGATGCCAACGGGTTTCCTACACCATATTAAGCAAAGAAACATGTTTTTTTAAAGGTGTTTCCATATTTTTGTCCAACCCCTGTACCTTTACTAATGTCATTTAATTCTTGTTGATTTGGCGGTGGATCTGTGATAAAGTATTAAATTTATCATTAAATATTTCAAAATAGTTCATTTAGTAATATTTTTTATCAGATCTTCTAATACTAATTCTAATCAATGAGCTATGCATTGTCAGATTACAGTCTTAAGAAATGTTTGTAGAAGTTTGATTATAACTTCAGATTTCTTCCTAACATTACACTAGCTACAATGGAACAAAATGCAGTTCAGTGAGTTACACTAGTTACATTTGAAGAAAATGCAGTTCAATGAGTTTTCAGAAAATTCATACGAACTTGGAACATACAGCAATGCATACATTCAATGGTAGTACCTTTTAATTTCTAGCAAAAGAACAAAGGGCTCATGAATTACAGAAAAATTTAACAAAGTGCTCACATGAGTGCCCTACAGCTTATCAACCCATCCATCCCTAATACAGGCTTGCACATATATTACAAATTTTAAAATCTAAATGATGAAATAGTAAAAAATTAAGCAAGACTCAATCTCTATATAGAAATAAATTCTAAACATTACGATACATTTGTAAGATGGCATGTAAAAGAAAATACCAGTTTTTAATATACGTAGATGCCAGTTTTCCTAAAGTGCACTAGTCTTTAATCCGGACGTCCATAATCCGGACCTCAAAGCTACAAACTTTCTGCGCATGCCCATACGCATTTACGCATGCGCATAATACGTTCACGCGTGTGCGTTTAATGTATAACGGACGGTATAAGCTAGGCTAAATTTATCTAATTATCTATTTCAGTTAATTTTGCAGATTGCGCTGTTCCTTAATCTTCTAACTGGATCCCACTTATTCTTTTATGCAGACTGTTAGAGCAATTTATAAAAAGTAAGCTTGAACTTTCGTTTATGTCAAAAAGAGTTTCTGATTCTGGAGCTGCCAAATGATCTACAAAGCAAAAGCATGTTTCGATGTCAGTCATACAAAAAGTGGAATTGCTACAAAAAATGGATAAAGGCATGAAGAAAGTGCAGAGAGGTTAGTGAAAACGAAAAAATTTCGATTGACAAGTAGTAAGTATTCTCGGCAGAGCAATTACCGGACTTGAACAGCAGAACTTTATAACTGAACAAGAAATTATGTCTGTTTATAGAATTAAAGAGAAAGTATTAGCACATAAAACAAAGCAACTTAAACAACTTACATTGAAAGAAATGTTTCATAAAGTAAACAAATAAATACGAGCTTTAGCTTTTTTTATCTTTAGCTCGTATTAAGCTTTTTTTTTTTTTTTCGTAAATTTTGATACGCTGTAGATCAGAATTGCTCTTTATTTCATAAATTACAGTTTCATATTTTTAATTTTATAATTTCTGCATGCCATCTTACCAGATTTAAACTGATGATCTATAATCCGGAATCGCCGAAGTCCCTACGAATCCGGATTAAAGACTTTGTACTCTATTAAAATATGTATCTTAATCACACTAATGAGAAACCATATAAACGTGTCATATGGGATAAGTCATTTGCATGCAGAAATGATTTCAATAAATATGTTTATGTACACTGAGTACAAACTACATGAATATGAGATTTTATAAATCATTTGTATACACAAATGCATGAAAAAGGCCTAAGGCTTATCCATAACAGCAAGGAATGACATGAATGTGATGTTTATAACTCATTACAGTTAAATTATGTTAAAAAACATATTTTTATCCACACTGGTGAGAAATCATAAACATGTGGTAAATGTAGTACATTTAATCCAGATTTTAACATTGGTAAAGTGGGACACCATTGACCGGGGGGGGGAATGATTAAACATTTAGTTTATACAGAGGAACACAAATTTTCATAGAACAAAAAAAAGTATTGTAATATATTTTAAAAATTTCAACACAAGTACAATTTACAAATACATTAAAAGAAATTATGTTAGTATTATTTTATTCTTTGGCATATTTCTCGTTTGATTTTTTGTTGGTAATTGCTGTCGGTTTGTTTGAAAGGTCATAAATTTTTCACAAGAATTTGTTAAATTATATTTCACATAAAACGGCTTTCAAGTCCTCAACACTTAATTGTGATTTTCTTATGTCCACACTTTAATTTACGTAGAAAAAAAAGCGCTCAGTCTAGCATAGTTCCCTGGGGTATTCCACAGTTTTTTAGTGCATTTCTGTATGGAACATGGTTTGTTTCAACATGATGAAATATTTCTAACCATTTGTTTTCTATTGTGAACGCTGATAACCAAGATTTAACCTTTTCTTTATCAATATATTTTTAATAATGATGTCTAATTAAAAAGATCATTTTCAGAAATAGTACTATATGGGAAATTTTGAGTAATATGATCGAATGATTTTTGCACATTCTAATTAAGTTCTTGTTTTAATATATTCCCTAGCTTGTTGTGCATTTTTCCAAAAAATCGGGACTGTCCCGCCAGAAGCAGGACATCTGGTCACCTTAATTTAATGTTACCAAATGTCACTTGCTTATTTACTCTAATGAGAAACTACATGAATATGTTATATGCAGTAAATCATTTGCATGCAAGGGTGACTTAGCTAAGAAGTACAGTCGAACAAATTTGCAACAGGATCTTTCAAAATTAATCTTCAAACGTTTCATGTTACATAAGTATTGCAATCATTCTGTTCTTGTGATTAGTGATTTTCATAACACTCCTTTATAATAATCACAATGGTGCTACTTGACAACTGCAAATAAAAGCAAAAAATATTTAGGATTGTAAAATATATTTGCATTTAAAACAGACACTCGAATAAAAGATTTCTAGTAACTTTTAAAATTTTACTTGAATTTTGAAAACTAAACACAATGTAAAGCAAAAACTAACCTTCCAGCATGCACGCTAAGCAATTTTACATGAGCACGCATGCGTCGTATTTTTTACGACATCTGTTATTCTACCGTTTTTGGCACGAAAAATGACAGAAATGAGTGAATATTGATAATAAATTTGTTAAAATATAAAATATTAACTTTATTATTGAAAAATACAAATGATATCACATTCAAATGATAGTAAATTATTTTTAAACGCTTATATTAATCAGGTGGAAAAGCAATGATGTATTTATTATAGAAATTTAAAAATATATTATTTAATAACTATATTTTAAAACCTAAGCTAGTTTTAATATTCATATCTCCTGTCCTGTTGATTTATCATCAAATTGAAGACAACTTGCATGAAATAAAATTCTCTTGCAGCTCATTACAGCTCTTGTTATTTCAATTCCAATACCATTACTTGAGAACAAGTCTTTTGCATTTACAGTGTCCTTTTTTTTATTCCTATCATATATAGCAATCCAAAGTAGGCCATCATTTCCACTCAGGTAATATTGCAGTCTCTATCTCTTGAGTATTTTGCCTTTTAGTAAACTTATATATTTATTTGTTCATCCCAAAATTTCATCAGGCATATTTTTATCAACTATTTTAAAAATTGTTCCCATTTCATCCTTGGCATGGTGTTTTAGGTCAGGTAATGCTCACGATATTCATCTTAATCATCTTTGAGCAGTTTGCATACTTCTGTTTTTGCCACTTAGAAGATTTATCCTTACTAACGAAAAATATCATCATTCCTTTTTTCTATATCATTATTACTATCATCATCCAAAATTTACTGTTCAGATTCAGTGCTGATATTATTTATCTCTATATTTTTTTCACTCAGATTGCTATTATACTCACAACCAAAGGTTTCCTTGTCTTCTATGATAACGTAAGATATGGAAAGTACTTCGGATTTTCGATAAGTACATTGTTATTTTGTGGTTTACACAGTAAAATGGCTGAACGTGGTAAGATTAATTTGAAGTTTCTGTACGATTTGGAATGAAACAGGAAAAAAGTTTTAATTGACTGGTGTGTTAAATGAAGGTTTACTTAGTTGCTATTATAAGTGTCCTGTTTATAGGAAGGAAATACGTACGGTCGAATGTCGGAGGATACCTGACACTATGGAGGATATTTTTTACTCTTATTTTTGTGAATTTTTGTGGTGACACCAGTATATAGATTCTAGTTCAGATAATTTTAGGAAGTTTTTTAGGATACTGTTAAGGAATTTTATTTGACTTGAAGACATGTGTTAAAATTTGTAAATAAGGTAACTGGACATTTCCTTTGTGTATTGCTACAAGATGAATTTCCTATTTTATGGTATTTCATTGTTTAATTTAAGATGTAGTTTATTGAGATTATATATATATATATATATATATATATATATATTTGTTGGCTGCTTCTTTAACTTTTTAAGCGAAAATAGGTCGATGTGTACATGAATAAAGTCAAGAGAGTGTGCAATGCCAAGTTTGTGCAATTCTGCAATTTTTTTTAAGTGAAAATAGGTTGATGTGTACCTGGATACCAAGTCTGTGCAAGTCTTTGTCTTGTTATTTTGTCTTTGTGTAGCGGCGATTTTTGGCACAAAAATAACACAAACCAAAGAAATAACAAGTCAAAGAATTGCACAAACTCAGCATCCATGTACCTCCAAAAATCGCCCATTTTCGCCAAGGGGTACCCATAAATATACTTTTACCAAAAACATTCATTGCAGGGAATAGATTTCCCAGATGATACTCATATGCCTAAAGATTACATGTAGTGCTGTTTGAATTGAACCTGATACAGTCAAAAGTCGTTAATCCAGACACCCATAATCCCGAATGATCTATAATCTGGACCTCAAAGCTACAAACTTTCTGCGCATGCGTCAACGCATTAATGCGCTGACGCATGCGCCTAATATGTTTACGCATGCACGTTTAATGTATAACGGACGGTATAAGCTAAGCTAAAATTATCTAATTATCTATTTCAGTTAATGTTGCAGATTGCGTTGTTCCTAAATCTTCGAATTGGTTCCGGCTTATTATTTTTGCAGACTGTTAGAGCAATTTTATAAAAGTAAGCTTGAACTTTCGATTATGTCAAATAGAATTTCCGATGCTGGAGCTGCCAAAGAATCTGCAAAGCGAAAGCATGTTTCGATGTCTGTTAAACAAAAAGTGGAACTGCTGCAAAAAATGGATGAAGGCATGAAGAAAGTGACAGAGAGGTGATTTGTTTCTCTAACCCTTCCGAAATCTGTTTATCAATTTCACGCTTCTCTGCGGAACAGGGGGGAACGTCGCGACGCGCAATGAACTGGAAGTTGATCTGTCAGCACTATCCTTATCTTCAAGGCAGATGTTTTTATTTTATTCGGCTTATAATTCCTTACTAAATGTAGTATTTCATCTCGATGTACTCCGTCTTTGATGTGATTTAAATCAGGAATACACATCAAATAGTTTTCTGGTTGCAGTTTTCTAAACTCGACTATGCATAATGTATGCTTTACACATGCGTGCGTTGAAAGAAATGTTTAATAAAGTAAACAAATCAATATTAAGTTTTTTTTTTTTTTTTGTAAATTTTGATATCCTTTAGATCATAATTGCTCTTTATTTCATAAATTATGGTTTCATATTTTTAATTTTATAATTTGGGCATGCCATCTTACCAGTTTTAAACTGATGATCTATAATCCGGAATCACCAAAGTCCCGACAAGTCCGGATTAAAGACTTTTGACTGTATTTAGATCAGCCTAGGACTGGCAGCAGAGATAATGTGGTAGCACCAGGTGGCAAAAACTGGGCACCAATTTTTGTTTTTATTATTATTCAGAGCAACAAAATTAGGGGATGTCTAAATCTTTAAAATTTCCAGAAGGCAGAGGTACACAAATTCTTTAGAATTTAGGTGGGGCTTGGCAGCAGACCCACAGAGATTGAATCACGCGACAAATTGTCTAGCACTGGTCCTGGATAAGCCTAATTAAGCCTATGTAGGAATTTACTTATTTGGAATTCAGCTGAGTATGTGCAGTAAACAGGCATAAGTATAATAAATAACTAACATAATTCATGCTTAACTTCATACGCATATGAAAGAAGACAAACAACATATTAGTTGCCAATCTCTTGATACATCACAAATAGCATATAACAGATGCTAGTTAAACTTTATGGTGATAGCCAAAAATTTATAGGTGTTTGTATATTGCAAACAAAAGTAAAATTTTCCAATTAATTAGGTTTTTAAAAAAAATATGAAGACGTGAAGATGATATAACAGAAGTCTTTCTATTGTGATGGCAAGGCCTCACTCGTTGATCAACAAACGGATGAAAAAATCTGTAGCATCCTAAATAAAAAAACACCACTACTGATAGTGAAGAACGTGAGAGAGGTTATTGAAAAGGAAAATATTTGACTAATTTAGTGGAAATTCTTGAAGCAGAGATTACAGGAACTGTAGAATAGAATTTTGTAACTGAAAAAGAAATTATGTTTACCTACAGATTAAAGACAAAGTATTAGCACAAAAAAGGAGCATAGTAAACAACTTGCATTGAAAGAAATATTTAATAATGCAAACAAATAGAAACTGAGCTTTTTTTCTTTTTAATTCTTTTTTGTTGTCATTGTTGCTGATGTAAATTTTGATTCCCTTAAGATCATAAATCACTATTTTATATTTTTAATTTTATAATCTTTACATGTCATTTTATTAGATTTAAACTGATGACCTAATATCCTGGAAAATTCCACATCCAAAATTGCCCAAATCCCAATGAATCCAGGTCTCAGATTTTGTACCGTATTTATGTAGCAAACTACAATGTTGCCAAAAATATTTATGCAACATACTGCACAAAGCCCACCCGCAGATCACATTCCACTTCACCCAAAATTTTTGCCACTGTGATGGCAAATTGTAATCCTGCTATGGGAATTTTAGTGCTTTAGCATAGGAGTGGATTACACATTGTAATTTTTGTCACTTGGATAAATTCTTAGGTGTAACTTTCAGCAGACACAGAGCATAACATAGCTAGCTTTTGTATCACATGCTATGTATTTTATTACTTTAAGATTTCACTGCCAGGCTTGTGTGCTTCTCTGATTTTCCTCTTTTCCTTTATTTTCTTTCTTTTTGTTATTATTACTGTTTTTTTTTTCTTTTTTATCTCAAAAAGATCACTATGCACACAGGAAGACTAATAATGCCAAAAATCAAAGAGAGTGCATGTCCTGTATGGAAAAAGAATGCGTAGAATTAGGCAAATAGGATAGATACATCATTGAAATAAATGTAAAGAACCAAACAAGCTTACTATTCAAAGCTCCAAAGTTTGGTAATGCTCTTCAACCGCCACCAAGTTCATGACTTTGGAGGGAGTGTGGATAATCAGAACATACCCCACAATGGCGTAGTATAAATATACAAGATTAGGCAATGCCTAAAAGCCTATTACTTTTTTATTTTTGTATACTCGAAATTATTCTATTTGTAAGGTTGATAATAAACATGTTGAAGAAACAGATACACATCAGCAGATATAGGTAACTATGTATATAAAAATATTACTGATGATTTGAGATTTTATGCTGTACAAAATCATTTTCCTGGACAATGATATGATGGCACTTATGTTATGAATGGCATCTATAATGACCTTCAGAAAAACATAAAAACTATTCAATAAAATGCAATATATGTACATTGCTTGTTTCATAACTTAACTCTTTGAAGGGTGGCGGTTACCTACAGTAACCATCTTTTCTATTCAACATCTTAGGCACTCGTGCAAGTAGTTTTCAAGACTGACCGTTTCTGAAGTTCCCTTG